GGGGCCTCGGGGCGGGCGGTGCGCCGTCTCCTCGGCCCCGCCCAGAACCCGCCCTCACCTGCGCCGCGCGCTGGGCCCAGCCGCTGCTCCGCCCCTGCTGACCTCGGCCAGCTGTGGCTGGCTCGGAAAGCGGGTCACCGGGAGGAAGGGGGCTGAGGAAGAGGACTCGAAGTCGACCTTGGGAGCATGGAGCTGCCTTCTCAGAGTGCTGTCTTAGTTTCTCCCTGGAGAAAGTGGCGTCCTCTGCAGGTAGGCTGGGGCACTACCGTGCCAACTCCGTGCCGGGAACAGTGCGTCACCGGGTGGGCCTGACTTGGACTGTTTGACAGACGGGTAAGTGTCTGGGTTCCCACATCCGGCGCCTTTCAACAAACCAGTTCTGGGGGCAGGGGTGAGAAGTCGGCGTGAGTGGGGGGTCGTTTAGTACAGGGTTTGCACGACAGACCCGTTGCTGTCGAGTCTAGTCGACTCCGACTCACAGCAACTATAGGACAGAGTAGAACTGCCCCATCGCATTCCCAAAGAGCGGCTGGTGTATTGGAACTGCCGACCTTTGGTTAGCAGCCGAGCTCTTTACCACTGCGCCACCAGGGCTCCGCACGACAGACACACGGTAAATATTTGTGAATAACGTCCAAAGTAAGTTCTGGATCCACCAGCCTGACGGAGGAGGAGAGCTAAAACACAGCAGACCCTCGAGTTTCCTCTTAGCTGTAAAGGTTTTCCTATCTCTAAGCAAGAAGTCAGGTTAAACAGATTTTGCGCTGAAGGGCACTAATTAGAGGCCAATTTGCAATTAAAGTGTAAAGGCTAATTTTAAGCTTAAGTGAAACACTGACTTTCTAAGAATTTTCACTTTGACGTTGAACTCTTCTATACCACAAATACTGAGAGCTTCACGTGCTTTAGATACTGAGCAAGACACCGGAAGAAGGTGTTATTACTCCTATTTTACAGAAGAGGGGACTAAGGCTCCAGAGCAAAGGTGGCTTGTCCAAGATCACAGGACTAGTTGGTGGGCAGAGCCCAGGTTCCAACTTTTTTCACTACACAATGTTGCCTAATTCAGATGGGCTTGTGAACTCTTTGCTGAGAAGCAGTAAATCCCGTACCTATGGCAATTTCAATGTAAAGGGCTTCTCACCTTTTGGTTACCAAAGATAGAAAAGACAATAACTCTAATACTTTATCCAACCAACAAATTTATTGGGCATGTACTAAGTGCTAAGTAATATGCTAGGAACTGGGTATGTACTGCTAGTCTAAGGTGACAGGCTGAATGGTTAGATGTAAGCTCTGGCCTCTGCTCTCTCCCAGAACTGCAGTAAAATGACAATTACAGGGATTTATCTTTTTAAGTGCATAAACCCATAGGGATAAAGAACAGGAAAAGAACAAAATGTTGGAAGCTGGAAAGCAAATGGGTAAGTGGTAACTAATGGGTTACCCAGTGGTGGTTCAGTGGTAGAATTTTCACCTTCCATGTGGAAGAACCAGGTTCAATTACCAGCCAGAGCATTGCACCACATGCGCAGATTCCACCCGTCTGTCAGAGGAGGCTTGTGTGTTGCTATAATGCTGAAAAGGTTTCAGTGGAGTTTCCAGACTAAGATGGACTAGGAAGATCTACTTCCAAAAATCAGCCAATGAAAGCCCTATGGCTCACAATGGTCTGATCTGCAACCAATCATGGGGATGGTGCAGGATTGGGCAGCGTTTCCTTCTGTTGTGCATGGAGTCCCCATCAGCTGGGGGCTGACTTGATGACAGCTAACAGCAACAAAGTGTCAGATCCAAGAAAGCTAAACCCTAAACTGACAGGGTTTAATCCAACCCAGGTTATATCACAGAACAAAAAAATTCAGGAATGAGCAGTACCAAGTACGTCTAGTAGGAGTGAGGGTAGGAATAAAAAAAATACAACAGGATTGTTTGAAAGTCTGTTTAAGATCCCCTCCCATATGCAAAGGTCCAGACAAGCAAAAGCAAGGGGCTTTGAAGAGGCTGGGGTATAGAACTGAAGGGGAGGAGGACTGGCAGACCCCAAAGGTGGAGAGGGAGCCTTGCGCTAGTGCTTGCAGGGCCTAGTGGGCCAGGTTAGAGGGTGAGCTCTAAACCAAAGAGTTAAGCAGAAGAGTGGCTGGGAGGCCTGCCTTTAGGATGCTCTCTGGCTTCAGTGGATTGAGCAGAACCATGATTGAAGGCTCCCCTCAAGTACTTAGTAACTATTCCCTGTTTCTGGACACTAGCCTCAAGTTTATTTTTAGTTTCAGGAACAGACTCAAAGTTTTTCGTTCAGGTTTTTGAACAGAGGTTCACAGCCTTTTAAAGTATATTGTTGGGAATCCGGTATGGGTCCTTAAATAGACAAAACCTGGCATTATGGTGACTTCCTCGGTGTTAAGTTGTAATACATCATGACCTCGTCAGTGTTAAGTTGTAATACATCATGAGTGTACGGCCATAGCTGTGCCTGCAGGGGTCTGTCAGTGCTGAAGACAAACTGGCGACGATAAATGATAGAAGCGGGCAGCCCTTACAGGTCCCTGAGGCCCGGGGTCTAGTGCACATGTCCAGGGCTGACTTAGGCAGCCAAACTCAGAAAAGACTGATGAATAAACCAGGTGCCACTTTAATTGCTGCCAGAGGTTAGACTGCCAACAACAAGAATGATGATTCTTATCTTAAGTCTTTGAACTCAACAGAAAAGAGCTGCTTGGGGCAGCCCGTGGTGTGGAGGGATACTTCATGCACGCAGACATGCTTGGGCCTTAGGAGCCTTGGGCCCTGCCCAGGGTCTCTCCCAACAGGGCACCAACAAGTTCTTAATCATTGCCCCTCTTCTCTGCCCTCACGGCTGCTCCATGCCTCTGTCCTGCAGACTATGCTCAGGTTACAAATTCCTTAAAAACCGAAAAACCAGTTGTCATTTAGTCAATTCCAACTCATGGTGACTCCATGTGTTTCAGAGTAGAATTGTGCTGCATAGGGTTTTCACTAGCTGAGTTTTTAGAAGCAGATCACCAGTCCTTTCTTCCAAGGCATCTCTGGGTGGGTTTGAACTGCCAGCCTTTCAGTTCGTAGCCAAAAGCTTAACCATTTGTGCCACCCAGGGACTTCTACAGATTCCTTAGATAGGGGCTATTCCCCAGGATGAAGTCCCTGGGTGGTGCAAATGGTTAACACGCTCTGCTGCTAACTGAAACACTGGAGATTGGAGTCCACACAGATGGGCTTTGGAAGGCGTGGTGATCTACTTCTGAAAAATCAGCCATTGAAAACCCTATGGAGCTCAGTTCTACTCAGACACACTTGGGGTAGCCATGAGTCGGAATTGACTGGATGGCAATTGGTTGGTTTAGTCCCCATGATGTCCAGTTCACCTGGATCAAGCTTAGACTCTTTCCAAGTCTAACCTACTACTTTCCATAAATTTAGTAATTATCAGGAGCCCTAGAGACTTCTACCTGATACAAAAATATGGACAGTGATAAGTAGATTTCAAGCATAAAGTATATAGTGGGAAGACTGATTAAGTTTATCAAGAACAATTACCAATATTAAGCATGAACCAAATACCCAAGAACATTTAATATTTTAATGTTTCAAGACTAACAACCTGGTTTGCAATGATTCTTCTAAAAGGTCTTTTAAAGAAGGTTGTTGTTGGCTGTCGTGAAGTCGATTTTCAACTCACAGCGACTTCTTGAAGGGCACCAGTATAAATTTCTTGTGTCAAAAGGATTAGACTCAAAGATACAAACCAACAAAAACCCATTTTTGTGTTTAGAAGGAGTTGCTGTCCCTTCCCTCTGCAGTGGACACTAAGCTGACTCCTCACCAGTGTGCTCACATGACTGCAGGGAGGGCCAGCCCTGGGCGAATTCCAAGCGGGAGCGGTTCAGGGGTTAGAGTTAACTGCTGCTTCGAAAGAACTTGTCCCCTCAGCCGGAAAAATGCTCTCCAAGTCTCTAAAAATAGTGTTGCTGGGATTTTCCAGTTTAACATTCCTTTAGTTCCTATGACCATGGACAATCCAAGCCTATCCACTCCGCGCCCCTTACTGGAGCCTGCAGTCCAATCCCATCCTCCGTAGGACCCCAGTTTGTGGTTCCTGCCACCTTCAGACCCCGCTGGCACTTGATGATTCGGGGAGAATTCGAATCATTTGCTCAGTCACCTCCCTGGCTTCTCCCCAGCTGCCCCCACCTTCCTGCCCTTCCCAGACAGAGGAAGGGGGATGATTTTCTGGAGAAGGCTGAAGTGTGGCCGAGGGATTGTGGAAACTGTCTTCACTTAGATCTCCAGTACTAGATGTCCACGTTGGGCCAGGCACTCACCAAACTAGCTGAGGTAGCCAGGAGGCAACATACATCATACATACGTACATCAGACATACACCAGTACTTCCCATGTGCCAGGCACTGGGCCACACGCTGAGGCCCTGGAGACTCTCACAAAAGAACTTTTGGGGAGAGTAACTGGAACCATAGTAGACATGCTTGTTTTTGTCTGCCCAGCATCCATCCCCCTGCTTCTAAGGACAGTGCTCCCACCTTGTTCTGGCAGCTTCCACTCCAGCACCCGCCTCCCTGTACAGTGATTGGTGTAAGAGTAGGCTCCTCACCCAAGAAAGCCCAGTCATGGTTCCTTCCGCCCTGATGGGCTCAG